CGTAGAAAATGGACAAGAGAGGGGCCGGCGTGGTGGCGCACTGGATAGTGCGCCGCTTGGGAAGCGCGGCGGCGCTCCCGCCCGAGGGTTCAGATCCCACATATAGACCGGCTCCCGCTCACTGGCTGAGCGAGGCGCGGGAGCAACACCGAGGTTTGCAATCCCGTTGCCGGTCCCCGGTCCGGTACGGGGGCAACACTGAGGGTTGCGATCCGTTGCCGGACACGGAAAAAAGACAAAAAAAAAAGAATTTTAAAGAAACCATCAGTCTCATGTCTCACCTAAGTGAATAATACTGGTTTTGTTCTTGCCATCTACAACTTTTAATTTTGTGTTGGATCACTTTTAAAGGTGTTGGTACCGACTGGGAAGTTTAAAGTATACACATATTTTCAATCCAGTAATAAAAAGGAAAAGCTAAATCTGTAGTGAGTGAGAAAATATTTAGAAGTGAAATATGATGTGCCCTTTTGCTTATTTATTCTAAAATCTTTTTAGATAGATTTGGATAATTCTTTCTATGAAGTTTGCAGAGTTGATTTAAATTTCATTAGAGGAAACTGTAGGTGCTATATCTGCATTAATGACCAGTAAATCAGGATTTTAATGTGTAATTTAGAATTTTCAGTTTTACTGGTTTCTTTCATTTATCCATTTCTCAATCTGTGTTATAAATTACTTTTCTCTTCTTAATGACTGATGACTTTCAAATTTGTATCTGTACCATCTCCAGTTTTCCTAAGTGCTTTAAATGTGTTTACATTGTTAAAATGGGAGAAAATGAAGTGAAATAATTCATATTAACTGCTTTTGGAGATTCTCTCATAATTATGGTACTAGTAGCTATATAATTTGTGATGTTTAACATAGCAGTGGTAAAACCTATATACCAATTGTTACATCATCCTATTGAATTTCTCCAAGTTCTTATTAATGTCCTCATTTATGGCTGAACAGAGCACTGGGAAGCTCTGGGTGTTGTATTCCACATAGACCATGATGTGAACAGTACTTCCTGGAGTTATGCAAACAGCAGTATCTACCAGATTCACAGTAGATATGCATTTGCCATTGGTTAATATTTATAACTAAGGAGTTAGTGTAGTGGTATGGATTAGTCTCATTTCGTAGGAACCTTGTTTCTTAGTCTGCAAAATGAAAAGCTTGTATGAATGAATTAATATACATCACCCTAGAAAGTTTATATCTTAAAATGTATACATGTAGTATATACAATCACTAAGCATAGATCTTTGAAAATACAGCCTAATTTTTATAATTCTGCTTTAAGCTGGTAAATGATTTGAGGCAAAGAAACCAGAGTTATATCACAAGGTACTTAATGTTATATGTATACATACATGCACACACATGCACACATACATGTGCGCACACACAACAAAACTAGGGAATAAATGAAGCCTCTGGCTATGAACATGTGCATGCAATTAAATTAAAGAAGAAATCAATACAATAAAAATGATTATTCCTTCATTATTTTGTTGACTTTGTTGAGGAAGTATATTTTCTTCCTCTTTTTCTTTTCTTTTTTTTTTTTTTCCTTTTTGTTCTACTGGGGAAAGATAAGCAGGCAGATTCTCTTTCAGTAAGGGAATTCTAGAGATGGTTCTGCAGCCATTGTGGTAGCCACCATGATTATTGTTATCTCCGAGACTTTGCCCCTGGAGCCTGCAGTGGCTGGCCTTGTTTAAAACTGGGGCATAGACCTGATCTGATTTCCCTCCTCTATTTGGACACTTGATCTTTCCAGGGCTCAGTTCTTTTATTTTATCCTGTGCCTGTCTATGGACCTTATTTTGATGAGCTATATGGATTTTTTCTTAATGTGGATCTATATTTTAAAAATATGTCTCTGTCTTCTCTGTTTAAAACTTATTTGTTCTGTTTTACACTTTCTCATGTTCTTCTGAGCAACCTATCCTTGTAAGCTAGACCTCTTAATATCTTATAGTGAATTAAAATGATAGCTGCCTGTGTTGGTTATTCTTCCTGGGCACCCCACACTCCCAGTTCTATTCTCTCTCCTACTCTGTGTCCTAGAAGCTTGACTTCTGCAAACAGCATCGCCCTGGTCTCCTTGCCAGCTGGTTTCGGGTAGGGTTTGTGAGTGGGAGGCACTGGCAGGAAATTGGAAGGCAGGAGGAGAGAGGGTTGGCTGTGCTTCTTGCCTACTCTTCCCCTGCACTAGGCTGTGTCTCTGGCAGTAGCTGTGCGCTCATAACTATGGCTCTCACTAGACAGCCTCTGCTCCATAACTCTGGCCTACACTGGGCTCAAGTAGAACCATTTCCTCCCCCTGTTGCTTAGCCCTAGGGAGACGGTGACTTCCTGCTATTACCAAAGTCTGGGTCCTTGGCAAGCCCTTATTTATTTCTCTAACCTTAATCTGGCTGTTCCTTCCCAGAAGTTCACCACTCAGTCTCCTGTGTTTCCATTTAACTTATGAATTCTCTAATTTTAGAACTTCAGTTTGGCTTCTGTTGTAGTTAGTTGTGTCTGAGTCTGTCTGTCCTATTAAATGGTGAGAGCATGAATCACATTGCATTCATCTCTGAATCCCAGGACCTAGCAGAGTATCTGGCATGTAGTAGGAGCTCAGTACGTATTTGTTAAATGTGTTAATGGATTCGTATTACTATTACTCCCTCAATCTTCTCTTAGAAAAGTTCAAGAGCCATTCTAACGGTATTTCAGGACTATTTGCAGTGTTTTCAGGAATCATAGCTTTTCTGAGTGTCTTCACATTTTTCCCCAAAAGAACCTAGGGAAGACATATCCTACTGGCATTACTGAATATTGCACATAAACTGTAGAATTATGGAGAATGACAGCAACTGATCAAAAAAGAAACGAGACAAAAATTACTCACTTTGGGTTCTCCCTGAGTCATATTCACTCTGTTTATGCTCACTGCTTGAATGGGAATGAAGCAAATGTGATCTCATTCATTTTTGTGCTTTCTTCCTCTCTGCCAAGCTCCATTTGGTGCCCTATTGTCTTACAAGTTGCCTATTTGAATCTTTTGAATTAAGAGTTTAGAACAGAAGGTCCATCTGTTCTGCATCAATATTAAATTATCATAAGACTTTGTATAAGGAGATTTTACCCTTGTGTTTAAGAAAGACTTGGAACATCAATTTTTTCTTCCATATACCCTTGGACTTCAATAGGCTGCAGTTATCAAGTCATATAATATAATAGGCTTAGAATCCTTTGAATGGCAGGTGCTGAATAGAAGTAAGAAAGGTTTTATTTATTCTCATTATCTTATAAAATATAGTACTTATTAAGTATAATTGAATATGCAATATGCCAGATTTGGAGGTTACTGTGTTTCATAAGAGAAAAAAACAGTCTAAAAATTACATAGTGGAGAGTTATATTTTGCAATCAATCAGGTTCATTAAGTAAATGCACATGCTATTTTAATTCATAATATGATAGATAGTATGCAACTGACAAATCTGTAGTTTCATTTTGAATATTCATGAAGGAGCAAGCTTCAGCCAGCCTTTAAGTAATATAATTTATGCAAGTACATTGTATTCTTTTCCAGCAAGCTCCAAAATATTTAAAATCAGTTGGCTGGTAGATATATATTATGTAGTCAAATTTGTTAATAAAAGCTGAGTAAGAAAATCAGTTGAAGGATGGCATTTTAAAACTGTGCATGGTTTCCATAATTTAAATGTACAGCTTTAAATAATCAGTTAATTTTTCAGTGAAGGTGAAAATTGGGTTATACTTTGGGTATGAATATTTATACAGAAATATATTGATATTTAAATAAGTATGTCTAATTCCTTTCTTACCAATTATTATTGGCAAGTTGGTACTTTTAAAGGTAATGGGGAGATATAAATCCAAGGAGTGAATATAATTTCTTCTAATTCATGCAACTAAATTAAAAGAGAATGTATACATATTCCCTTTGTAAAATTTATACAGTTAAAATTAAAAATTGGATTTAGTAAATATGGGGAACAAATTGCTGGAGTCTATTTGCATCAAATGATCCCTTCCACTGGCCTTTGAAGTAATTATCTTGAGATGGATCTAAGATGTTACGGAGATCTGAAGCGTCTACAATACTGGGTGCCCTTTCAAAGAAAAAACGATACAAAATTACGAAAGCAAAAGTTAGTTCAGAGTCTTAGAAGGGGCCTAAACCACAGGAGGACACTAAAGATCAGGCTTCATTACTTTCAAGGTAAATTCGTCTCTGTTTAGATGATGAGTCAGCATGGATAATGTGAAATACTCATTTTAAAACAAGCAAACAATTTCTGTTGGCTAAATGTTTGTATGAATTGTAATATTTTGCAAGTATCAGAAAAAATTATTTGATACTTTATGCATTTTCACTAATTAAAATACATGTTTTTTCAACTGAATCCAAAGTTATGTTTTAAAATTTTATTTAATTGGAATGGAAGCAAAGGCAGGCCCAGATTAACACCTCTCAATATCTTAAATGGTGTGACTTAGCCCATATACATTTATAAATAAAATAATACCAAAACATAAATCTTACATGTATATGCTGAAATTAAAATGGCTTCTTTCTAATTTTGTTTTAAAATTCTGTAACGGCATCTAAGAAATAAACTTTTCTCATATTGTGTTCTCCCTAATTTGTTGCTGCCCTAAGTGCCTCCTTAATGTGCGCTAAGTGGGACATCATCTGTCAGGCAAGTAATTGGTTGCTTCTCATTTTTGACACTCCTTTTTCAGAATCTAATTCTGACTTGCCATTGTCCCTTAATCTTTTTGTACCTTATTTTACTCTCCCAATTTAATTTTCATAGCACCAATTTAAGTTTACATGTGCCCTAGGGTAGATTGAATTTAGGTTTATAGTCATTCGAATACCTTGAAAAAGGTAAAGAACGTGTGAAACACAGTTACAAAATGATCTGAATGCCTCTAAACTATTTTTCCTAATAAAAATAAATTTATGTGTATTTTTTATTCCAAAGCGATATGCCAATTTCAAGGACGAACATACTTTGAAGGAGAAAGAAATACGGTCTATTCCTCTTCAGGAGTATGTGTTCTCTATGAGTGCAAGGTAAGAAGTCTGTTCATGGGTCTTTCAAAACTGTTTTAGTTATATAAACACAGTAAATGTTTTTTTAATAGCTAGCCCTTTCCAAATTCTGAGGCAAAGAGAAAATTTAAAATATTCATTATAGTTCAAATGTAAAGGAATTTTCAAATTTTTCAAACATGTTAATTAATAGTTGTCACATAATTTCCCTAATAAATAAAAATACTCTTCTGTCAAATTAAAGTTTTATAAACTTGTCTTATATTTTCCAAATTCTAATCAACTCCTTGTTTGCTGTTTGAGGAAAATGTAGATAAAGATAGAATTCAGCGTGTTCTCACTCGGGTTTTGACCCATGTGGGAAATATCACTCTGTTCAATTAAAAACAAAACATAAAAAATTGCCTAATAAAAATTAACTGTTGGATGGAGTTGAGACTGATATTGATCTTAATACCTTTGGGAGGAGTATTTTAAATTATTTAAAGAGGAATTCCCTACAAGTTTACATGCCAGGATCTCTTGAAGTATGTTTCAGAAGCAAATGTGATTTTTTTTAACTCTGCTCCTTGACCTACTAATTAAAAAACTAAATGTGTTTCACAACAATTTTCTATTTGCCTTTTATGAACTATAATGTTATATTTCTTCACCCTAATGTTATATTTTAAATCATATTCTGTGTGAAGGAAACTGTCTACATAGAAAGTTTCTGTTTTAGGGTTCTATTTATATTTGATCCCTAATTTTGCTTTTTAAATACCTCCTACATGTAGGTTTGGAGATGATTTATTATGTATAGATTATGTAGAAAATTAAGATAGTGATTTATTTTGCTGGTGCCACCAAGAAACTGCGAGCATTTATATGATTATCAAGAGTTGGGGAAGGGAAAATCCTAAGAATTTTGCCAAGACAAATGGAATCCTAAAGAAACCAGCTACCCACTTTAAACATCTTAATTTGGAAATCCTTTGGGATAAGCAAGGAGGAAACATAAAGAGGCAAGACTGTGACAGATTTGATTTCTAGAATATGAGAGCTCTGATTTCTCATGCCCATTATAAAGTATTCAAGCTACTTCTTTTGGTTTTAAATGGGCTTTTTTATGATGTAGGTTACCATCTTAAAGATAAGAAAACTGAGGCATAGGAACATTAAAATGAATTGCCAAATCTGTATTGCAAGATGGATGTTCCTCTGTCAGCATCCCTATACCAATTCTGTTTTTGAGTGGAGTAGGTCCCACTATAGATATAAGGATTGGAAGACTTAGACTGAAATCTAGTAACTCCAAAGTGAGAAAAGGGACTTGGAGAAAAGTTACTTCCAAGAAGGTGGAAAAGTTTTGTCAGCTGTTTTCTAATGGTAACCTCTGACTTTGAAATATCAACTCTAAATTTAAAAATCTTTAAAGTATTTGGAATTTCTCTACTTCACTGTGTGTATGTTCTTTTCATTTGACCAGAATGTGTTCCATAATACAGATAATAGTGTTTTAGAAATTTGCTAGTGTAGCTGCCTATTTTATTTTAAATTAATTTAGTTAGAGGTCTGTTTAGAGGCAACACTGCAGGTCCTCAGTAAATATTAGATGAATGACTGAATGTTAACTTTTATTTTCTCAAACAAAAGCCACCATGTCCTAACTTCTAATGCTGTGCTGGTCAGTAGAAATATAATCCAAGCCACAAATATAATTTTCGTTGGGCTAAATTTTCTATATTTAACCCTATATATCCAAAATAATATCATTTCAACATGTAATCAATATAAAAATAAATGAAGTATTTTTTTTTTTTGTCATAGTAAGTTTTCGGAATCTTGTGTGTATTTTACAAGTACAGTGTTCAAGAGCCACATGTAGCTAGTGGCTATTGATTGGACAACACAGTTCTATCAGATCATCATAAGCTTTTGTAGTTCTTGACTTTATTCTAGACATTACGGACTTCCATTGTTTCTTTTCAATTCAGGCCCCTTGCTCCTGTATTTACAACTTTACATAATTGATAGCTGTCTCGCTGAGCTGTCAATTCTAGTCCCTGTTTGTTCTTTTATTGTCAGTTTTGTAGCTTTGAAAATATGTCCTAGGGGTCTGTGATTTTATCACAACACAGAAAAATATTGTGTTTTTGAAAATAAGATTGCCAGAACTGATATTACTGTCAAACTAAAGGAAGACTGGCATTCGAATGTATGCATGTCTTCTGCTGTTTTCTTGATAGGAGATTATGATTTGGAGAAGGTTCTTTACATAAATAAGCCAGGAAAAGGCAGATATTGGAATGCATATTTCTTCCATAAAAGTAGTACTTAACGGTAACGATTCCTAAAAGTTTAAGCTACTGAGCAGTAGTTAAAATGGAGGGCTGCAAGTTCCAAGAGTTATTTTGTTACTTATGAACTGGTAAGCACAATATAACATAAATAGTGACCCTTGTTCTTAAGAGATTGGAGACTTACAGTATAGAAGCCAAATGTTTGCTTCTAGGGCAGGGCTACTGGGTTGTAAGAAAAGTATTTCATATTGTGGTTTTTCTTTGAGAAAGATTTTATCTGTTTTTGGTTGCTAGAATTACAGTGACTTTACGTTGACATTCATTTATTCGATAAATTTTTCTGAGTGCAAACTGTGACAGAAAATGTGTCAGACATTAATTTACAACAGCCATTAATCCTACCTTTATTTTCCCTATAGTTTTGTGGGAAATCCCCAATATTCCTTACCAGAATCATCTGTGAGAATCTCTTTATAACAAAACTTTATAAGAAAACTTTGAAATGAGCATATTTAAAAAGCTCAGTTTTTATTTACTGTTTTTTTCAAAATGAGCTGTTGATCTAATGCAAGCTGTATTCTTTGCCACAGTTGTCATCTGAATATGCAAATGTGTTGTAAAACTAATAAACTTTTCCAAAATTATCCAGATGTTTCGTAAATTATAGACATGGCTGCACTGTGGTATGCTTTGATTCCCAGTGCTGTTTGTCTATTCTTAAGGCTTTCCAGTTGGGATTTAATGTCATCTGGGGAGTGAGCCTGTGACCTGTGCAGAAGTTCTCAGGATGAAAGTCTCACTCTGATGTTAGAAGAGCCTTCTTAGATGCTGGATCTGGAAACGTGTTAGTAAATCCTAATTACAAAGTGTGAAGCATTTATTTTTTGTTGTCTACCAGGACCAGACCATGAAACTTGTTGAGAGTTCAGGCTGTCCAGTTCTGGATTGCCCAGAATCTCATCAGATTACCTTGTCTCATAGCTGTTGCAAAGTTTGTAAAGGTAAGACTTTTTTGTAAAGTAAGATTTATGTGCCAGAGTCATTCTAGGAGGCTAGCACAACTGACTTGAAATAGAAATTTTTATAAACAAGGTATTTCCAAAGATGAGTAGTATTTCCAAAATGCTTTCCTAATTTGCCACACAGTAAGTAGTTATGAAATGTTTACTGAAATGAATTAAAACTGAGATTCTCCCATGCATTTTTGTAAGGTGTCTTGAAAATCTTTCTCTTAATTCCACTCTCCCTCACTCATAGGCTTCTAGATTACTAAGAAGAGAGAGGCCATTAGAAATGCATTGCTTGTTCTGTTCTGCCTCTCAGATGATAGGCCTAGAACCAGTAAGTAGAAGGGAATTTGATTTTTAATTCAATGTAAGAAAGCACTAAAATATGAGCTATTTGGAAATGCAATTGTCACCTCAGGCGGCAGTGAGTTCCCATCACTAAAGGTTCTTAAACTTGGTATTTTAGCATTGATTATGCGGAATTCTTTAGAATCCCTGCCAATCATGAAATTATTTCCACCTTTTTGTATTACATTGAAATTATATATTTGTGAATCCATTTCCTGCATTAGATGATGCACCTGAGGGCAGGGATGGGTCGTAATATTTATTTCTATATCTTAATGCCTAGTATGACACCTGAGACGTAGTTGGTGTTCATAACTATTGTCATTGCTACTATATAATAAACTGCTCCAAATGAGCTACTAGCACTTGTTTGAATAGTGACCTTTATACTGATGCAAAACAAAGCTTAAATAGAAAAACGTAAGACAAAGAAAGCTTATAAAGCATATACTATTTTGTTTCCTCCTAATCTATTAAAAGTAGACATAAGGTCACCCACTCCAATTTTTAGCGTAGTGGTGCAGTTTGTTTGCTTTTTGTTTTTTAAGCTCCTTTTCTGTCCGTCCAATTAAGATTTTTTTTTTCCTTTTTGTCTTTTTTTACTGACGGGTAACAGGATCGCAACCCTCGGTGTTGCGCCCGCACCGCGCTCAGCCAGTGAGCGGGAACCGGTCTCCACATGGGATCCGAACCCTCGGGGGGAGCGCTGCCGTGCTCCCAAGTGGCACACTCTCCAGTGTGCCACCGGGCTGGCCCCAATTAAGATTTTTTTTTTCCTTTTTGTCTTTTTTTACTGACGGGTAACAGGATCGCAACCCTCGGTGTTGCGCCCGCACCGCGCTCAGCCAGTGAGCGGGAACCGGTCTCCACATGGGATCCGAACCCTCGGGGGGAGCGCTGCCGTGCTCCCAAGTGGCACACTCTCCAGTGTGCCACCGGGCTGGCCCCAATTAAGATTTTTAAAATCACAGTTCTGTGTGAATCTTTTTGGGAATTACAGAGTGGTTTAAATTTGATTTGCCTTTCAAGGAGTTTTCAGGATAGATCCAAGGAAATAAGGAACAATTCTAAAAAGAGCTAAGGTGAAATAGACATGTAATAAAGAGCATTAGAGTTTTCAAGCTCACAGTGTCTGCACCAGTTCTTGCACAGAGCATGTGTAGAACTTGATACTAATCAAGAATGCTCATTTTAGTCATGTGACTTGGGACTTCCAGTTTGCAGCTTGACTAGAGTGTCTTTGGCAGCCAAAGGTAGGTCATACCTCTGCTTCTCAAACTTAAACATGCATACAGATAACTTAGGGATCTTATTAAAATGCTGATTCTGATTCAGTAGATCTGGGGTTGAGCCCAAGAATCCGCATTTCTAATAAGCTCCTAGATGATGCTGATGCTGATGGTAAGAAGGACCACACTTTGAGTAGTTACCTATTGCTGCATAACAAACTACTTCAAAATTCAGTAGCTTAAAACAACAACTGTTTTATTATATGTCTCAATATCGTGGGTCAGGGTTTTGGACAGGGCTTGGCTAGATGTTTCTTTTGCTCAATGTGGTGTTAACTTGGGTCACTCAGTGCTGTTCATCTGGAGGCTGGGCTGGGCTGGAAGGTTCAAGATGGCCTTACTTCATGCTGGGCATCTTGGTAGGAATGGCTGGAAGGCCAGGCACAGCTGGGACTTCTCCCTTCTCTAGGTAATCTCTGAGCTTTTCTCTGTGGTCTCTCCAGCAGAATAGTAGTCAGACATCTTAAATGGTGGCTTAGGGCTTGTAAAGACTAGGTCTGGAACTGGCACAGAATCACTTCTACCATCTTTCATTGGTCAAAGAAGTCACAGGCCAGCCCAGATTCAAGGGTAGGGTAAATAGAACCCACCATACGTACCAGTATTAAACATTTGTGGCCATCTTTAATCCACTACAAGTGTCCAGGGGCTACTCAGGGACTAGACAGATGAATAACATAAAAGTTAGTAAGGGTTGAATAGGACAAGATTTGGATAAGAAGCTGAGATAGAACCTTTAGGATATCAAGAGAAGCCCTGATTACATCCATTAAAAAAAAAAAGAGCCCTAATATATTATAAAAAGCAAGTTAATAAATGGAAAAGCTAGTACAAAAATTGTGTCATATTTAAATTGTTTACAGTTTTAAAATAATGTGTTTACATAGCACACTTAAAAATACAATGACAAAATATTCCATGACCCAGACACCACCACCACCACCACCACCAACTGAGATTTTGATATAATTGATATGAGATGGGCCTTGGCATCACTATTTTAAAAAACTCCCTGATATATTATTTTTCACAGCAAGAATTGTGGACCACTGGCTTAGATAATATTCAAACTGAAATTGGACTAGTTGGCCCTTCTTGAAACATGTAGCACCATTTTTAATAAAGATTGCATCAGTTTCTGACTTCATATATGCAGAATAAACAAGTGAGTTCTCCTGGCATTCTCTGACTTTCAAATTTCAAAAAAGAAGTCAAGTTCTCAAGGCTTAAATTCCTAGTCAGCTCCTACCCAAATGTTGTGACAAATTCATGTGTAATAAAGTTGGCCTTCAGTTTTCAGGCCTGTCTGCCTAGTGCCAAAGATGCTGTGTTCACATCTGAAAGAGTAATTTGTCCAACAAGTTGGTAAATATTCCATGAGGGCAGAGCGTGAGATGAAGTGTTGACCTTTCCACTGTAGGCTCAGCCAGTGGAAACCAAGCTGTGCACCAAAATAAGGCTCCAAATCTGTAAGCACCAAGTCTAATCCAGCCAAAACTGTTTTTCAGATACCCCACAGCTGGTTATCTAGCAGCTCTGAAGAAATGTACTAGCAGGAACATTTTTTTCACTTTTTCATATTTGAGAGCCCTTTCAAGGAAGCTTATAACACAGCATGACAGAGACTCGGTGATACGGTGCAGATTCTGATTTAGTGTGGATAGCCTTTATACCTGCAGTCCTGACCATTCCCCTTCTCCCCCACTTGGCACCCCCTTTGTCTGCTTGCAAGACCCTTCGGTTCTATTCACTAGATGTCCCGCTTTATTATTTTCTTCATTGTACCTCATAATTACAAGTAATAGGGGTATCCACATGCAGAAGGCTGAGTTGGTATAGGTTGTTCTCTTCTCCTACATCTTGATAATACACAGTTTTCCACATTATTCAATTATTACCTTCAAGATTCTTGCTATTTGTGTATTACTGAAAACATTATTCAGTTAAATTTATATATATAGTTAGTTGATTCATTTTTTTAAAAATTTAGTTTAATTCCAATGTAATGATATCCTTGAAATAATAGGGTTATTTGCTAGATTTATGTATTTCCTATAGGCATTTAAAGAAATCCATTGTGATTAGTATTTTCCTTTTCTGTTCATTCATGTACACGAACTACACTTAGGGAAACGGTAGGAAAATCCATAGTCTTGCAAACAATGCCTAAATAAGTTAGTATTCTTTTATGTGCTAGTGATAGAACACCCAATTCAACTGGCTCATGCAAAAAATGGCAAAAAATGGTATCTGAGTAGTAAAATAACAAGTAGATGAAATAAGCTTATTTGTTAAAGAATATATCAAAATAGTTATCTGGCATTGTTTACAGTAAATTAGAATTTGATTGACTGAAATTTTTAGATTTCAAGTCTGCGGGTTAATTAAAAACAAACAAACAAACATTTGATAAAAAGTAAAGCACTTCCCAACTTTTACCTAAAACAACGAAAGTAGGATTACACTATTATCTTAAGGTTGGAAAATTCTTAACAGCAATTAAACACTGCATAGTGTGTGTGTGCATGATGAGATGAGAGGTCTCACCATTACTGAGGCAGAACTAAAAGTGGATTGTAATGGAGGTGGCAGCATATCTAATTGGGCAAAGTCTTAAAAATGGGAGAGGAAGGGCTGGCTGATTAGCTCAGTTGGTTAGAGTGAGGTGTTATAACACTAAGGTGAAGGGTTCAATCCCCCTGCCAGCCACAATTTAAAAAAAAAAAAAGGAGAAAATTCAGCAAAGTGAAAAGTGGAAAGTTTTGAAGAATACAAGTACAAAATTACAACTAGATAGGAGGAATAAGTTCTAGTGTTCTATAACACCATGGGGTGACTATAGTTAACAGTAATTTATTCTATATTTTCAAATAGCTAGAAGAGAGAATTCTGAATGTTTACAACACAAACAAATGATAATTGTTTGAGGTAACGGGTATCCTAATTACCCTGATTTGATCATTGCACATTGTACACAGGTATCAAAGTATCACACTGTACCCTATAAATGTGTACAATTATTTGGTGTTGATTAAAAATAATTTAAAAAGAGAGACACTGAAAAAAAAAAGAAAAATATAAACCCATGAAAGAAAAATAAAAGTGCATAAAAAATAAACCCATTCTTAGTCACAGCTCTCTAAAAGTTGTTTGAAACATTACAGGTGAAATCATACAGAGATTTAGGACTATGTTAGAACTTTATCTCTTAATTCTCTGTATATCTTAAGGAGTTAGGGCATTTTTAACATAGTAACTTTGTTCTAATTTAGAATAAATATAAAGTGATTTTGGAAGCTTTTTTATTTTAGTTTGATGATGTGCTGAGCTATTGGAATAGACAGTGAAGATTGCTTTTTAGATAAAATTATTCCCTCTTAGGCATTGTAAAAAGACAATGGAGTACATTTTAAGAAATATGGTCTCAATTTAGCTACTTAAAGAAGAAAATAAAAAGACCCTGGTAACATTTCCTCTTCTTAGGAGCTTTACTTCTAAATATTCAGCCTTAAGCATAAAAATTTAGATTGTAAAGAATCATGTCAAGAGAAGTAGAGTTGTCAAGAGATTTAAATGATTTTATTGACTGTATTTTTCTGGTCTTAATATACTTATGTTCTATTTTACTTTATTTTGCAGAAATCACTAATTTCTTTAATTTTTTTCTATCCATTTTTAATGGCATTATTGCATTTTGGAGCATTACCTTTCTTAAAACTTATTAAGTTGTACTAGTAATATTTTACTATGCATCATAGTTGCATTTAATGGGGATATTAAACTCTAGAGTGATATGCAAAATAGTACGGGCACCAAACAATCAGAATGAACACCAATCAATCAGAATAGACATGAATTTGATTACAAACAAGATGAACCAATTTAGAACTTCCATCTTCATAGTTTTCTCAAGTAAAAGTCTTCGTGGCTATGGGTAGATGAGTTTATTCTAAGCTAGTCCTCTTTTTAGTACTCATTTTTTACTCCTCTTTTCTGTTATACATGCATCAGACAACTTAAAAATTGGTTAATAATATATAATCATGCAATTTCTATTAAATATGGATTCAACTCTTCAGGCTTTTCATTTCAGCATCTTAGGTGATCTTTGAACAAAGGGTTCGGACAGGAAAAAGAGATCCTGAGAAATTGCACATGATTGGTGTCACCGTAAATAACATGTTCCATTTTTCTTTCCTCTCATAAAGACTCTGGGCTCTGTGAAATCTTTGTAATTCATAAAAATTTTCTTCTTCTGTTGAGTGGACATGTATTGCTTTGCAGATTTCCAGAGAAAATAAGATTATAGTGATGTAATTTTCATTTTTTTAACTCATTTAGACAGTTTTTTTAAAAAGGATACCAAGCTCTCTATTTCATTTCTTAAGCACACAATGGCCACATTTCATCTGGCCTGGTTTGTATTACCACAGGTATTGATTATGTCGAACCTCTGGTTCTCAGATTACCTTCTCATTGTGTTATCTTCTATACTGTAAATCTTGATTTTGGACTACAAGAATCTTTGTTTCAACTATATAGAGGATTATAATTAGAAAGCAAGAAACAATGAAGACATGGAACTAATTCTAAGAAGGAATTAATTGTGTTAAACATAAAGAAGAACTTTTTGGCACACATAGCTTGTGGTTCTTCTATAAACATTAATGGAGATATTAATTGGAAAAAAATTGTTTAGGGATAAATAGCTTCCAAATTGAAAGAAAATATTAAGTAGACAAGGTTTATTTGCTTTGTCATGGTTTCATTTACTTTAATAAATTTCTTTTTTCTTGTAGGTTATGACTTTTGTTCTGAAAGGCATAACTGCATGGAGAATTCTGTCTGCAGAAATCTGAATGACAGGGCTGTTTGTAGCTGTCGAGATGGTTTTAGGGCTCTTCGAGAGGACAATGCCTACTGTGAAGGTAATCCTTGTAATGATGTGTAGCTCAGCTGTATAAATTTCCTAGGATTATTGCATGTAAAATTTATTAATTTCCCAGGTTGTCAAGTTGATGGGTCCATTAAAAGCAGTGAATTTAATTTGAAGCATATTAATCAGCTAAAAATAATTATCTTTCAAATTAAAGTTTTTCAGCTATCTGCTATATGTCAGACTAATAAGTTAATATGGCTGATTTCTTGAATTAGAACAATTCTTCCACTGTGAAATTGCCTCCTTTTTTTCATAATTAGATATTCAGATAGCTCACATATTAACATGGTTACTGTGGCTTGCAGTTAGAACTGTAGTGAGATTTTTCCAGACAATATTGTGTAACAAAGGCAATCAGTTAACAGGATGATAAAGTGCCCACTGCTATTTTTGTTTCGTATTGTAAATAATCTCAGTGGTTGTAATCATGCTCTGTGGTATTTAGTAAATAGCTCTAGTGGAGTAAATCATTTCCTAGTTACTTTTAAAAATCTTAATTAATACCCAAAGTAGTTTATTCTGTCATGGAAACAGTCCAAAAACAGTGAGTAGGCCCTGGGCATTCACAAAGGCTCTGGCTGTGACTATTCCTGAAGAAGTTCATGAGATGTAGTAATTTATGATTTCCCCGAGGCATGGATTTGAATCATTTCCATTAATCGTGTGACTAACTAGTGTGTCCTGCAAATAAGAACACTAATTTGGTGGTGTTTGGGCATTTGGAGGGTTTAGAGGGTTCTAGATTTACCCTTTGCAAATGTCAAGCATGAGCCATAGGTCCCTGGAGATGCAAAACCTCAGATATAAACATGCAGCCTCTGTTTAACTAAAGGATGATTTGTTAGCTCTTGGGAAACCAACTTCTATTATTTTCTATAGCTTTAAATAGATTTTCTCTGCCTTAAAAATTAGTATTCATTTTTAAAATTGACTTTGGATCAAAGTATTTTCTTAAATTCTTCTGATTCAGTCCTAAAAGGACAATTCCATTGTCACTGCAGGAAGACACATGGCTTCTCTATCACATTCATAGTGCAGATTTATTTAAAATTCCTCCTTTTAAAAGGTTTTATATAAGAAATGGATTCTTACATAATGATTTTTATTCTTACATAATGTAGAGGTAAACTTTCTTAGTAAAATAATATATTTTCATTATATTTGAGATCTCTAACTATATATAATAAGCCTTGTATTACTGATATTGTCAATTTGTGTAATATGAAACCACATGATGCAAATTCATGTGACACCTCTTTTTGAGTCTTAATTTTATGACTATTATTTTTATTTTGAGCTGTTGCTTTTGTTGTGATTAAGTATATGAACTCATGTAATAAATATTTAGTGAGCTCCTACTGTGTACCAAGCACTTTTCCAGACTTGATGTAAAGTTCAATAAATGGTGAACCATTAAGGTCCTGTGCTCAGGAGCTTTACATTTTAGGAGAGAAGACAGAAAATAAGTTTCTTACCATAGAAATAGAGAAGATAATTTCAGGTAACAAAACATAATAGAAAGAAAAATGAAACAGAATAATGTGCTAGAGATTGATTGGGGATCAATTTAGGTGGAGCGGCCAGCCTTTGGGGCAGGAGGTGGGGAGAGTGTGGTGGTTAACTTGAGACTTGATGATAATAAATCATGGAATGTTTTGGGACAGAGCATTCCAGCCAGAAGGAACAGCAAGTGGAAAAGCCCTAAGTAGGAACACTCTGAATGTTCCAGGAGCAGAAAGAAGGACAATGTAATGGAGAAGACAAATCAGAGAAGATTTAGTTGGAGCGTTAGGAAGGGGCCAGGTAACGCAGGGAGGCTTGCAAGGACTTTAGATTTACCTCAAGTAGGGGATATATATGCTCAGACTTGTATTGAAAAGGATTGTTCTTTTCTGTTGTCCCGACCATCCCCATCCCCATGTTCAACTAACACACTATAGCCGGGGTGGTAGATGAGCATGGGAATGAGGATGGTGGGGACAACAGAAGAATTAACTGGGAGACCAGTTGGAAGGCTATTATTGTAGTCCAGGCAAAGATGTTTGTGGCTTGGATTAGGAAAGTAATAGAGGAGGAGGCATATTCATGGTATGTTTTGAAAGTAGAGCCAGCAATACTTGCAGATAGTGGTGAAGCATTGAAGAGGGGATCAGAGGAGCAAAGGTTTTGGAGTTTGAGCAACACATGGATGGTGTGGCCATTTATTGAGATAGGAAAGAATTTAAGAAAAGAGGCCGGAGATTTAGATTACATTATTTGTTCAAATTATTTATCAATGTGACCTATTGAAAACTGGTTTAATCATAAAGATAGGTCACTCAGTTTTTATCTGCAAGTTCTGTAGATGAAAACAGTAGCACAAATTGGCAGCTGTTTTCCATCTTGAATGCATCATGCCGAAAAATGTTTTGAAACTTCATGCTATTTGTCATTTAAAGATATAATCTTCAAAACTTAAGAAAATGATAGAAAAACTTGTTGGTTTATTATGAAGATTTTGAGTTTCTTATGCATGAGGACTTCTAATATTATTATACATTTTGTTATTCATTCCATGTTATACAGGTTTTGTAGTATTCTTATGAAATTGGTTTTTTTCTTTTTATTCTGACATTGTTGCTAACTTTGAGGATGTTTTGACTTCTTAGAAGCAACACCTTTTTAAAGTTTTTATGCAGTGTTACATGTTATGTATCAGCCTCTGGTCTTGTAACATTTTGTTCCTCTAAGAAATTAGGCTAGTCATTGTACATAAAAATTATACTTGTTGTACATAAAAATTATACTTGTTGTTATACATAAAAATAGGCAAGCGATAGTTTGTAATTAACATAAATTTTATTTACTGAATCTGTGGGGTTGTTTTAATGCTATGACTGTAATTGAGACTATTGATTATTACTATAGTTTGCTTGGTTAGGGTTATTATAGCACTGGCAAATGTTGAAGTTCATTTATTCATCTGACAAATATTTATCGAGTACCTACTTTGAGCAAGGCTAGAGTTAGGGGTGAAGCAGTAAATAGGATATACATGACTCATATTCTCTCAGGCAAGAAAGATAATAAACAGATCATCACACCAAAGAAAATTTAATTGCACACATGGCAAGTGCTTTAAAAGAGAAATAGGTTAACAGGCAGTTTGACCTGGGTGGGTGGTGGAGTCACAGAAAATTTTGCTTGAAGAAAAAAGTTGTATTCTGAAATCTGAAGGGTAAGTAAAAATCAGCTAATCATAGAAGAAAGGGTGGGAAAGAAGAGAAATCTCCTAGGTGGAGGAATCAGCATGTCTGAAGGCTGGGATGTAGAAAGGAGCACTTTTTAAGAACCAAAGGAAGGCTAGTAGCTGGAGGCAAAGAGCACAGGAGAGGTGCCTGATGAGATTGATGGTGCAAAGCAGGCCCTTGAAGTTTGCACTTCAGGGTTTATGCTAAGAACGAGGGAGAGCGAATGAAAGATCTTAAGCAAAGAAGTGTCATTATTACATTTATGTTTTAAATAAATCCCTCCAGCTGCTGGATGAGTCGGGGTAAGAATGGATGCAGGGAAACCAGTAGATGAGAGACAGTGGTGGCTTGCCTTAAAAATGGAAATGGAGATGTGGGCACATTTGAGAGCACTTATGGGTAAAACCAGCCAGTCCTGGTGATTAATTGGGGATAGTACATGATGAAGGATGAGGTTTGAGGTTGATTCCTAGATTTTAAGCTTAAGAAACAGGCAGATGTTATTGCTATTCACTGAGGGAGCAGATTGGGTGAGAAAGCTGTGTTGGGTTTGGAGTGCCTATGGGACATCCAAGTTGTGTAGCCAGAGTATACATGGACGTGGTATTTAGAGAAATTTAAGTTGCACTTAAAATTTGGGATTTTTTTTTGTCATGAATGGTAGTTGAGGAGATGGAAGAGATTATCTAGAGCATTTTGAGCAGCATTTGAGCATTTAATAGAAAAGATAGTACTGTGATGGAGACAGCAAAATCATGGCTGAAATGTAGAAGAGAAGAGAAGATGGTATGACTGAACCCAGGGAGGAGAGAATTTCAAGAAGAAATAGAATCCTTCTGAGAGGTCAAGAAACATGAATACTGACCCTCACAGATGACACCAAGGACATCAGTAATAGTGATTTTGGTGCAAAGTTGGTGACAAAAGCCAGTTTGGAGTATGCTGAAGATTGTGTAAGGGAAACCATGGATCTTTGAAGGAAGAGAGATCCTTCTACGTGTTTGCCTGTGACAGGAAGGAGAGGAGCTTAGGGAAAGTGAAGCTAAAGAACAATTTTTCTTTCCCACCTCTTTTTTTCCTTTTAAGTCTGTTCTCTCCCTCCCCTCCCATTTTGTAATTCCTCAGATATTTATAAACATGATTTAAGATTAGGATTTTATAATGGCTTGTCCAGCTTTAAGATATAAAGGATATAAAATATCTGGAAGTATATTGGGCTACTATAGTTTCCTGTGAACTTTATGTTTACCACATTTCTCTTTTAAAAATTACACATTCATCTCCATGTATACAGTGTCCCTCATCTATAGATCTTTACCAAATTTTTAAATATTTCATCTCTAATTTGATCTTTTGTCAGTACCTGTAATCTATAAACGTTGTCAAAAATTAGGTTGGACATCATATTTTCAGAATGGTTCTTTTGCTCTGTTTTTTTTCACTTTGAACTGAAACTTACGGGAGCTTTTCATGTTTTGACTTATCTCTTTCTTCACATTCCACTGTTCAGTATTATGTCAGGGTCATTTTGGAGTCCTATTTTAGCTAGTTTTCAGAAGTCATTTAATTGGTAAGTTTCTCTCTTCATTGCATGATAGTTGGTGAGGATGACAGCTCTGTCTGCCCAAGTGTGCATTATAATGATAAAGCTTTTTCCTCATTCCCAGACTCCTGAAAATCACTGGTGGTTTTGCTATCCAAGCCTTTGATACTACCCTAAGAACAGGAAAAGAGTTCTGCATAAGCACATATCACACAT